GGAGGAGGAGGAGGAGGAGGAGGAGGAGGAGGAGGAGACGGGATTGCTACCCCATGGCCCTTCACTACCCAAAGGTGTCTCAGAGCTGCCGACAAACTCCTCTCCCTTCCCCTCCCCACAACAGACGGACACCCCCCTGTGAGGGAGGCGGGGCTGAGAGAGCGCTTGACAGAAACTGCTCTTTTTATTTATTTATTTATTAAGATTTATACCCCGCCCTCCCCGCAGAGCAGGCACGGGGCAAAGCCCATAAAAAACAGGTAAAAGCAATAAAACAATCATGACAGTTAATAAAATTATACTCAGTTTAACAAGATGGTCTCCAGATGTTTCTCCAGGGCGATGTTATCCTGTAGCTCAACCAGGTCAATCCAGTGGCCCCGCAGAAATTGTGGCAGATCTTCCTGGGCCATCCTTACCCCGATGTTGTCCACCTCATTGGTGGCGGTGGTAGTGGTGACAGAGCTTGACAGAGCTTGTGACTGACCCAGGGTCACATCAGCAGGTGCAAGTGGAGGAGTGGGGAATCAAACCCGGTTCTCCCAGATTAGAGTCCTCTGCGCACTTAACCACTACACCAAACTGACAGAAGGCAGCTTCCCGTGTTCGTGTCCCTGAGCATGCGCAGAGCGCCACCTCCCTCCGCATCAGCTCTCTGCTGGGCTGGAGGGTGCCGTCGGTGCTGCCCAGAACCTTCTCTCCCCCCCCCCGGGTCCTGATGTGCCCCCCCCATCTCTCCTGCAGGACTCTGGTCGCTGACCTACGAACAAGAGCTCACCACCCCTCTCCACATAACAGCGAGCCGTGGCTACGTGGACTGCCTGCGCCACCTGCTGCTGCGGGGGGCAGATGTGGACATGGCCCCCGGGGGGCAGACGGCACTGCACGTGGCCTGCACGGCTGCCACACCGGACTGCGTCAGACTCCTCCTGTCCTTCGGCGCTGACCCCGAGGCGGTCTCTGAAGACGGGCGGAAGCCCCTGCACCTGTGCCAGAGCCCGGAATCCCTCCAGTGAGTGCCGCCCCCTGCCGGGCGTCGCAGCTTCACAGCCAGCCAGGCCCCAGGGGCCGGGGTGATGGGCATTCCAGGGGAGGGGAGGGGCTGTGCCCCGGCAGCTCCCAAAGGCTCTTTGCCCTCCTTGCAGGTGCGCTCAGCTCCTGCTCGGCCACGGGGCTCGTGTGAACAGCGCCACGGAGGAGGAGGAGGACACCCCCCTGCACGTGGCTGCCCGGTGGGGCCTGGTGGAGCATGTCCGCCTCTTCCTGAGCTACGGGGCCAGCCTGGAGGCCAGGAACACAGAGGGGCAGACGCCCCTGAACGCGGCCTGTGCCCAGCCTCACCCTTCCTCCGCCACGGAGGACTACTTCCAAGTCTGCCAGCAGCTGGTGGCCGTTGGCGCCCAGGTGAACACCGCGGACCTGGACCGCCAACGCCCGCTCCACCAGGCCTGCAAGAATGCCAACTCCCGAGTGGTGGAGCTGCTCCTGTCCCACGGCGCCAACGTCAACATCATGAGCTACAGCGGCAACATGGCCATGCACAACATCCTGCAGGTGGCGGCCTACAGGCTGGATCACCAGCCGGAGAAGGCGGTGCGGGACCTGCTCAACCATGGGGCCGTGCGGATCTGGCCGGGAGCCCTTCTCAAGGTGCGTGGCCTGCTGGGGGGGGAGGAGCCCTTGGGAAAGCATGGTGCTGGGGGGGGGCGGGGGCTGTGGCTTCTGCAGGGCAGAGAGTGCCGGGGCTGGAACTGGCCCTCTGAGGACCCCCCTCCCCCTCCCCCAGTAAGACGGTCCCCGCAGCCCCAGTGGCCTTTTCCGGGAAGGGGCCGGCCGGCCTCCTTCGGCACCACGGGCCTTTGGCGCCATCCTCCTCGGGATTCATCGGCCTCATTGGTGTCCCCCCCCTCCCGGGCATGCCCTCCTGGGCTCCATGAGTGGGCCGAACAGTGGCACCCACCTTCCGCCCAAGAGCTTCTTCCGTGTTTGCAATCTGGCCATCCAGCTAGAGGGGACGTCTGTCCGTCCTCCCCAGAATTACTGTTGTCCTGCAGACTACAGAGGCTGGCTCCCCGGGAGGAGACGGCAACGTGGAGGAAGGATTCTGAAGGGTCACGTGTCCGTTGGGCTCCCTCCCCGCCCTTCCCTAAACTCTGCCCTCCCCCAGGCCCCGCCCCCAAATCTCCAAGTCTGCAAGCCTGAGTTGGCAACCCGGTGTCCCCTCTAAGCTGAGTGAGTGTGAGCTAGCTCACATTCTTTTAGCCTCCAGCTCACACGTTTTTGTCTTCACTGAAGAAAGATGGCTCTGGAGCAAACTCACAACTCTTAATGCCAGGAGCTCACAAAGTAGGATTTCTGCTCACGAGACTCCATGGCTTAGAGGGAGCATTGGACCAGGGCAGACCACCTCTGTTCATCTCTGGCCAATTTTTAAAATTGTAATTCAGCAGAGTTAAAAATAGCTTAGTATTGCCAGAGTAAAATAATTCAGAGTCCATGTGTGTTTAAAATAGAAAGTTTTTACTGCATTCTAGCTTAGGGAAGGGTAACTGGGAATAAAATAACAACAGAGCTAAACAGCTACATCTTTACACTACAACAGCTAGACTAGAAGAGCTAGCAATGGCTTCTCTTTCTTCTTCTTCAGAACAGAACACAAAGACGGGAAGAGGAGCCATAAAATGCTAAAATACTTTGACACTTTGCTTCCAATGAAACTCCTAGATCAGGGATGGTTTTCCCGGGCTTGTAGTCCTAAACTACCATTGGCTACATGAAACACATGTGACTTCCTGTGAGCAACACAAACATACATTTAACCCCATATATACTGAAGTGTTTTTAACATGTAACACCCAACACAACCCCACGTAACGAACTGGGATCCCAGCCGGGGTTCCCTCTGAGCTGAGTCGGTGTGAGCCAGCTCACTGTTTTTGAGCCTCTGGCTCACACACTTTTTGCCTTCGCTCGGGAAGGATGGGGCCAGGAGATCACAAAGTAGGATTTCTGCTCACAAGACTCCACAGCTTAGAGGGGACATTGGCTGGCACCCCAGTGAGTGAGTGAGTGAGTGAGTGAGTGAGTGAGTGAGTGGTGGAGGAGAGCCCCGCCGCACCTGCGGTCAGGTTTTTTGGGGCAGAGGATGTGACGGCAGGACCGGGACGCAGCCACAAGGCCTTGTGCTCTCCCAGGACACAAGCAAAGTGCCCTGCCCTGCCGTCTCTTGCTTTGAGGCCTGCTCAGTCTCTGCACCCCCTTTGGAGGGGTGGGGATCTCTTGCCCGACCGCTCAGCAATTTCATGGCGTGCCCACAAAGAGCTCTTGTATGGTGAGAAAGGGAGAAAAGTACCTCGTTCCCTACCTGCTCTATCCCATGCATAATCTTATAAACCTGTGACGGGACAATAGCTTCAAGGCAGGCAGACAAAAGGAAATACTCAGTGAGTGATTCACCTGCGGGATTTACTGCCAGTGGATGCAGTGATGGCCATAAGAACATAAGAGAGAAGTCCATGCTGGATCAGGCCAAAGGCCCATCCAGTCCAACACTCTTCTGTGTCACACAGTGGCCAAAAAATACCAGGTGCCATCAGGAGGTCCAGCAGACTGGAAGCCCCCTCCCACTGTTGCCTCCCCCCCCCCAAGCACCAAGAATACAGAGCATCACTTCCCCCAGACTGAGAGTTCCTACCTATACCTTGTGGCAAATAGTCTCTGATGGACCTCTGCCCCATATGTCTATCCAATTCCCTCTTGAAGCTGTCCATGCTTGTACCCGCCGCCACCTCCTCCTGTGGCAGTGAATTCCACGTGTAAATCACTCTTTGGGTGAAGAAGAAGAGGAGATTGGATTTATAGTCCACCCTTCACTACCCAAGGGAGTCTCAGAGGGGCTTACAATCTCCTTTCCCTTCCCTTCCCCACAACAGACACCCTGTGAGGTAGGTGGGGCTGAGAGAGCTCTGACAGAAACAGCTCTTTTTCAAAAACAACTCTGAGAGAACTATGGCTTGCCCAAGGTCATCCAGCAGGTGCGAGTGGAGGAGGAGTGGGGAATCAAACCTGGTTCTCCGAGATTAGAGTCCGCGGACTTCACCACCACACCAAACTGGCTCTCCAGGACTTCCTTGTATCTGTTCTACCCCGCATGGATGCCCTTAAAAAGAGGTTAGGCGGGTGAGTCCATCAGTGGCAACCAGCCAGGGTGAGTTGGGAACCTCCATGCTCAGAGGCAGTTTGCCTCCTAAATCCCCCTGCCAGGAGGCGACATCCGGGGAAGGCCTCAGCCTCTGGGCCCTGTCGGTTGGCCTTCCCGGGCTGGCCTCTGTGAGAAACAGGATGCTGAATTAGGCAGAGCACTGGTCGGATCTTGCAAGTCCCTTCTTATGTTCTTACATCTTCAGACCCTCAGAGAAACACAGGTGGATGACTGGTGAGCAGAGGGCTGACCACAGCCTGGGATAACTGCCCATTCGGCTGGCCTCCTCCTCTGTCTCTGTGGGGGCTGGGGGAAGCCCTGCAAGACCCCCCTCCTCTCTCTCTCTCTCTCTTCCTGCTTCCCTCCCGTGCAGGTGCTTCGCCACTGCTGTGGCTCCCCCCGCACCATCGAGGCCCTGGTCAACAGCTACGAGCACGTGCGTGTCACCGAGGAGTGGGCAGAGGCCGTCCCGGCTGAGCTGGTGCAGGTGAGCCTGGGATTCATCGGTGCCTCCTCCAGAGGGCGCCCGCTCAGGGCGAGGGGAGTTCGAGGAGCAGCACCCTCAGCAGCACAACAGTCTCCCCCCTGTGGACACCTCCCTCCTTTCCCGCCTCCTGGCCTTGACCAGCAGGGGAGGGGGGGCCGTGCACCCTCCCGCTTTTAAGGAACCCACCACCAGGGGAGGGGGGGAGTGTCTTTCCCTGGTGTTTCCTGGCGTATCTGGCTCTATGCTGTGTTCTGTGTACAGGGCAACACCAGCCCCAACACGTCCTTCCCTGTCCAGCCTGGCAAGTTTACGGCCAGGGATAACGGGATCCCCTTGACTTCCGCCCCGTTCCTCCTCCAGGCTTCTGAAATCACCACCACCACCACCACCACCCCCGTGTCCAGCTCATCCCTGAGCACTGAGGGCTCCTCTGGCTCGCCCGTCTTGGCTCGGAGACTTCCAGCCTTGGCTCGTGGGTGCCTCTGTGCCTCCTCTCCCACTCCGAGGGGCCCGGCTGCCCATCGGCCCTCCGGTTTCCTTGCCGGGCCCTCCCGAGTTCCAGCCCCCTCAGCCCATTTCTTCCCAAGAGTTTGCCCACACCACCCCTTTTGGAGGAGTCATTCCACACCAACTGGGGGCTCCACAGCTCCTGTCGGCTCCCCCCACCCCCGCCCCATTAGTTGGCAAGCTGCTCTGCCACCTTATCGACCTTAAGCTCCAGCCGTCTGGTTCCCCTTCAGTTCAAGCCAAGCTTGTCTCTTGTGCAAAGGTCTGGCTAGTCCCAGAAGGTGTCCCTGGTGCCCCCGTGTGGATGGGAGCAGCCCAGGAGACGACATAGACTTGATCTTCTTCTCCAAGGGCTCCTCTGTTGGGATGCTGCCTTTAGCAGTGCCAGTTGGCCCCATAATGGCTGAAATGTAAGAGACTCTGGGTGAGTGTGAGCTAGCCCATAGTGTTTTAGCCTCCGGCTCACACATCTTTGTCTCGGCTCAGGAAGGAGGGGGCTCCAGGGCAAACTGATTCATGCAGCAGCCAAATCGCTCGCTCACATCTTCAATGCCAGGAGCTCACAAAGTAGAGTTTTTGCTCACAAGGAGACTCCACAGCCTTAGAGGGCGCATCCTCTCTTCTCTTGCAGGAGCACCCTCACTTCTTCCAGTCGCTCTTCTCCCTGGGCCGGACTCCCCGCTCCCTGAAGCACCTGGCGCGCTGTGCCCTGCGCAGCTCCCTCGATGGGCATCTCCTCCAGGCCCTGCCCGCGCTGGGCCTGCCACCCCCCCTGCAAGAGTTCCTGCTGCTCCGCTTCGAGGACGTGCTCTACTAGGGGCGAGCCCCTGTCCCCGGAGGATCGGGGCGAAGACACGAGACACCCCCTTGCCCCCACATATCCCCATGGGGCCCGGTCGAGGGGCCTCTGCCACCGGCACTGTGAGCGGCGCCAGGCACACCTCCTCCTCCCCCCCCCCCAGTGAACTCTGCCTTCTGCTCCTGGGGTGGTGAGCAAGGAGGCCACCCCTGGCCCCAGCCCGGCAGCAGCAGTGTGGTTGTGCACCTCTTGGCCGCAGGCTCTGGCACTCCCTCTTCCCCACATCAGTCACTGTCCCATCGCAGCTTCCCGGGGTGGGGCTCTGGCGACTGGCTGCCACGGGGAGGCTCTGGCACGGCGGAACATGCCAGAAAGACATGGCGACCCAAGTGGGCCCTGAGCAAAGCCCAAGCGCCCCAATGGAGGCCGGCCATTGGCCCACGAAGCTGGTGGCGGAGGCGGCGGCGGCTTGGCAGATCCTATGCAGCTATGGATCCACAAGGGTTAAGCTGACACTAAATATTATGAAAATACAAAATTTATTCAGGTGTACACATTTTAAAACTTAGATTCATTAAAAATATACCATTCAGACTTTTCAACATTCATACATAGATGGGTTAGTGCTGTGCAACTGAACCAAACGCGTTTCGGCCCCTCAAAGGGCCTTCCTCAGTGGTCACAATTCCAATTACAAATTTGACATACATGTTAAATACATATACAGTGTAAGGCCAGATGTTGTTTCCTAAATACTTCTGTATTTGTTTATTATTATTCTATAAGATGGGCCTCCAGTCTAGCCAATTAAAGTCCACCAATAATTCTGGTAGCACAAACTTGTGTGAGTTGAATGTATGTCACTCCATCCTGTACACGAGGACACACTGTAACACAATGCTGGAATGTGGAAATGCAAGACAGACTCTCCTCAAGCATCCCGCTTGTGACCAGCAGCTGGAGGGGACAGGAAGAGACGTGTTTCCAAGCCCTTGGCTCCCACCTCGCCTGGGAGAGGGCGCGCCAACAGCAAGGCCTCGGAGGACTCGCGAGTCGGGAACTGTTGGGACGGCTGCACATTGGGTTGATTTCTGCTGCCGGGATGTGTGTTGCTGCTGCGCTGTTTGGTATTGTTATGCTGCCATTATTATGGCCAAGTGTTCAAGCAATAAAACTCTGATTTGCGGAGGATTGCCCATTGGGCGTGACTGGGGAGGGGCAGAGGACACCCGTGGCCCCCCCCCACTCAGTGGCAGAGCCAAATGCTGACGCTGTGCGATGGCTCCCGTGTCATCCGTGGGACCTCCCAGTGTAAAGCTCTCCATTAGCAGCAGGGGGTGGAAAAGGCCCGCCTTCACCTGCCGCCAATCACACTGCCGGGCCAGGAGAGGGATGGCCAGAGGCTGTGAAGGCTAAGGAGCCCCTCAGACCTTCCTGTGCTCTTCGTAGTCAGGATGCTGAACGGAGACCAGTGGCACCTGATGCCGGTATCAGCCCAGCCTGACATTCTCTGCTCTTTCGTGACAAATCCACCCCCTCAAGGCCCCTCTGCCTTCAGGGAGCTCCGCAGACAGAAAACCCTGCATCACTTGGCTCTCAGGAGGTGCAAGGGGCCCCCGTTGGGACCATGCCCATGGCCTGAGTGGAGGGGGGTTTTACTTCTCCCCCCCCCCCGTGCCGTGTTCCTGAGCAAAAGTGTCTGGGGGGGGGCACGTATGCCTGCTACCCTGACACCTGCTGTTCCCCAGTGGGGTAAACCATACTCCCCGTTTTTCAACAAGAAGAGGGCATGGAGGAGGCATAAGATCCCCCTCCCCTGGTGCCATGGGCCTGATTTTAACTCAGCCCCGTGCGTGCCTGCTCAGTCTGTTCCAACCATCCAACCGGCCGGCTGCTCCGTACACGGGTGGGAGTCCTTCCTTCAGCATTGTGTGGTTAGGCCCTCTGGGGGCTTTTGCACTGGCCAAAGAGGGGCTGATCCATTATGCTGCAAGGAGTGGTGGGTAAACGGTCCCTCATCCAGGCTCGCCCCCACTATTTTACTGAATGGGAAGGTGATCAGGTGTATCGGAAGAAGCGTGCGTGCCACACAAACACCAAGACCCGGAATTAACCTTTGTCGGTCTTCAGGGCACTACTGGAGACACCAGCTTTGTCCTGCTGCTTCAGACCAACACAGCGACCCCACCTGAATCCATGACCAGGCACTGTCAGTGGTCTTAGTCACTTGGGAAGCCACCATGTCAGGTGTGAAACACACAGAATGAGTGTTGACTACGGAATGAGTTTCTCTTGTTCTCACAGGAGGGGTGTGTGTCTCTTACACACAGTCACAGAGTGGGCAGGGCCCACAGAAGCCACCTCACTCTGCCTCCTGCTGCTCCGTGCAGGAAATCGGAAGGTAGGGCGTCCCCAGCAGATGGCTGCCCAGCCTCTCCTTAAAGGCCTCCGGGGGGAGAGAGAGAGACCACCCTCCTGGCAAGGTCTTCATCTGAAATCTCCCCTCCTCCTGCCCAGTCGAGCCCCTTAGCAGCAGAGACCAAGGCCTGGCCCTCCCCACCCAGCGAAGGGGCCCGCAGGGTGGAGTCTCCGCTCCCTCCCAGGCTTCTAAACAGCCTCACTTGTAGGCAGGCTTCCCGTGAAAGGGCTGGTGGTTCAGTCGTCCAACTCTTTTTGCTACCCTCCAGACCTTTCTCAGAGCACAGTGTCCAGAACTGGACTGAGGACTCCAGAGGAGGTCTGCCTAGTATAGAGCAAGCAGGGATGAACATCTGGAGCAGAGGTCCATCAGTGGCTATTAGCCACAAGGTATCGCCTAGGTGGGGGCTGTGGGGGCTCAAGTGGTTAAGATGCTGAACTGCAGACTGGAAGGTTGGTAGTTCAGCAGTTCAAGACCCGAGTGCCGCATGACAGAGTGAGCTCCTGTCTCTGGCCCCAGCTCCTACCAACCTAGCAGTTGGAAAGCAAGAAATGGCAAGTAGATAAATAGGTGCGACACATTGCCCTCCTCAGTATGCACCGCATTACATTCTTTGACCAAACAAGTTTTAGGATTCATGATCCTGTGTCCTCTTCCTCCATGAGTATACCCCCCCCAGGATCCCCACTTCAGCCTTGGTGTCCAACTTTCCCCTTTTTTGGGGGGGGGGGTATATGGGCATATGCCTTGGAACCAAAAGCTTTTAAATATTTCAAACCTGGTTTCTTCCCAAACCACAGCTCAAAAGGTGTTCTCCCTGTCACTTTAGAGGGAATTCTATTATGCAAGAAGACAGCTGCATTTACTGCTTCTGCCCAGCAGGGGACAGGCGGTGCAGACTGCATAGGCAGACAAGGTGCCATTTCTTTTTATTATTATTATTAAACTCTCCTAAAAAGGAGAGAATTTTATTGCTTTAAATTTTACAGAAAAAAAGGGAGGGTATATAGAGGGATTAAGAAAAGGGTGAGTGATGAGTAAATTAGTATATTAATCTTTTATCAGTGTTAGTACAGTCCAAAGCTTCTCCCGTGAGCAGTCGATCTTCTTGCTTCATTGACAAGGTGCCATTTCTTGAATGCTCCTATTAAGCCGCTCAGCTGCTCCATTGTGCTGAAGAGAGTGAGGCATAGTAGTTTTATGTTCAATGCCTTCTTGTTCCACAAACCTTTGGAACTCATTGCTATGGTATTCAGTTCCATTGTCTGTAGAAAGAACCACTGGAGCTTTGCCAAATTTATTTTTCACAGCTGCAACATAGTTTCTGAATTTCTCAAATACTCGGTCTTTCGTTTTTATCAGGTACATGTACACATCTGCTTCCAGCATCCATTGTTGTTGTTCAGTCACACAGTCGAGTCCGACTCTTCACGACCCCATGGACCACATCATACCAGGCCCTTCTGTCTTCTGTCGTACTCTGGAGTTTGCTTAATTTCATGTTCGTTGCATCGATAACACTGTCTAACCATCTCATCCATTGCCGTCCTCTTCTTCTTTTTCCTTCAATCCATAGAAGTGAGAAAATATTTTCTCCCACCAGCAGAGGGACATATAGGACCAACCACATCTGAAAAACTTTCTCCAAAACCTTTTCATTGTGCACATTTGGTTGCATCTGATTCCATTCAGACATTTCCACATTGCATTCCTTGAACAACTTTTGCTCACACTCTACATTTCTGTGTCCAAGCTTGACGTGCCATGCAAAAATGCAATTGTTATGAGCCCATTCAGGCTGCCTTGTATGACACACTGGCCCATCAGCATCCTTCAAGGAATAAAAGCCGTCTATCTCTTCTGCCATTATTTCCACTCCAGACTGAGAATGAAGAATGCTACATCCATGCTCTCTAAGTATTAGAGTTCATTTCCATTTTGCACAATTCATTTAACAGATACTAAATTCTGATTTGCATCCGGAACAAAAGCACAGTTCCTCAAACTGATTTCCACAATTTCTCCAGCAGTATCCATCACTGTCAACATCACAGATCCAGAACCTTCAACACACAATGGCCTCCCATCAGGTTGCACCAAGCTGGGCCTTTTCTATTTATCCAGTTCAATAAAGCATCTTTCATCATGACAAATATCTAAAAGCCACTGATCCTTAAGAGTTTAATTTTTATCGTCAACAACATACACAAAGCTTTGATTAGATTTCCTTTCACGTTTAATGTTTCTTCTCCCACGGCCACTAGGGGGTCGCATTTTCAGTAGGTTGCCCCTGTACGGCTTCCTCTTTTGATCCTGCATCCTTTTGACTCTGCAGTGCTTTCCCATGTGTTCTTTCATAGAAAACATACAGTGTTCCCTTACAACAGACATTTTACTTGTTGCTTCTGAAATTTCTCTTCTGGTCCCCTCTTCTTCCAAGAAAGATAGTACATGTTTCACATCTGTGTTTTCTCTTGCTTGCAGTACAGCTATAGAGAATGATCTGGGCAACGAATTAAAAATACCAGCAATAATTTCCTGATCTGGTAAAAGCACACCGGCAGATTTCAATTCTGATACTGTTGCCATAATTTCATTTAAATACATACTCTCCATTTATTTTAAAAGTTTGACTTTGTATTCTCTGGCTGTACTGTTCCCTAAGTAGCAACCACGTTTGGCATGCATTTTCACAGTCAACTATCAGGGGATTTTCTTGATCTGATATAGAATTCAATTTTTTTTGCCTTGGCATCTTTTCACGTAAATTCTAGTTGTTCTGCCTGGTTAGTAGGGAAGGCTTTATCCAGTATATCAGTAGCATTCTGCACATCCAGCACATACCTTAGCCTCTTGCAGCCCACATGCGGTAGTTATTTCCATTCAAAGTGGGAATTCGTATATTGGGGGAATTGCATTTATGCACAATTTGTGGAATGGGGTTACTCATGACTCCCGGAGTTTACTGATTAGTTCCACTCGTACTTGCTTCCTCGTTGAACATGATTTTTCAACTGGAGGGCAGCCTTTAAGAGAAGAAATCCTTTCCAACTAATTCCTTGGCTTGCAGTTTCCCCCTTTCTGGGCAT